CATATTGCAGGGCCCATTTTTAAGGATGGTGCTCCTAATACATTTTTTTTATATATTCAATACTCAAATCCGAAGCTTCTAATTAGGAGCAAAGAGATCTCAATCATTCCATTACAACCTATGACGAAAGGAATGCAATTGGACTTAATTTATAGAGATATGCTTTTTTATTTAATTTAACTAATAGAATTATCTCATTGTACCCTCCTTTTCCAACTCTTAATCGTGTTTTCTTGACGTACCAAATATAAATTAAAGAGGAAAAAATGTTTAAAATAGGGAAAAGAGTCTAAAAAATATTTTAATTTTGGCCGAAATTGTTGTTACGATATCAAACTTTATGGAGGGCCTTTTACCCCTTGCACTATTTAATAGTGTATTTTAAAGGTATATATGTGCTCACGTGGACACATTACTATTTAAAATGATGCAATATTTATGATGTCCACGTGGACACATATATACCTTTAAAATACACTATTAAATAGTGTAGGGGTAAAAGGTCATTTTCAAAGTTCGGTATTGTTACAGTAATTTTGGTCAAAGTTCGAATATATTTCAAACTTTTGTTCCCTTTAAATTATTATTATACTGCGATATATGAAATATCTTAATTTTATCATTTGTCATACATTGAAGATATTGATTCATACTCTTGAAGATAAGTATGAAAACATGTTAGTATATAAGATTATTATTATTATTATTATTTAAGTATTTCAAGTTATCACTCACAAATTTTCAACTTTATTTTTATGAAACATAACTTTTAACTTTGAAATACCTTCTTTTCTTTTTTCTAACTTCAATTTTCAATGAACACTTTTTTTCTTCGAATCTCAACAAATACCAATATCTAGAGTCTAGACACATATTTAGACATTATTCCGCTTATGTTGAATAAAAACTAAGATATTCCGTATATTAAAATGTAATACCCCAACTTAAAATAAAAAGTTTTATATTGATAAAAACACATGAGAGATAATGTTGGGTATATAAGTAAGCAGGTGTTACACACTAGTAACACACTTTAAAATTGTGCGAGTACAAGCTTAAACTGAACAACATCACTAACGGGATAAGCCATTACAGATGGTATTAGAGTCACCCTTGTGTCAATCTTATCGATATGAGGCTAGAGTTCAACTGCGTTTAGGCAAATCTTAGTAAGACAGGGAAAACCTCAATGCTGAGCCCATGCAAATCTCATGCAGTGAGGCAAGTGTCAGCGAGGACGCTGAGTCATAAGAGGGGTTGGTTTATGTAGCGCCTCATCTTAAGTTAAAAAGTTCCACGTCGATAAAACACAAAAGAGATATTAGATATATAAATAAGCAGGTCTTACACACTAATGTCATATGGACATAACTCACAAGGCCATTACATAAAAATAAAAAGGGAAAAAAGATAAATATATCCCTGAACTATTGTAAATGGTATGCAGATACCCTCCGTCATACTTTTGGGACATTGGTGCCCCTGCCGTCCAAAAACTAGAGCATATATGCCCTCCACTCTAACGGAATCCTAAATAGGGACACGTGGCACAATCTTATCCGACATTTCGGATCGATGGATAAGATTATGACACGTGTATGTTCGTTAGTATAAAGGGTATATATGCTCTAGTTTTTGGACGACAGGGGCACCAATGTCCCAAAAGTATGACGAAGGGTATTTGCATACCATTTACGATAGTTTGGGGTATATTTGTCGTTTTTCCCAAATAAAAATATGAATAGAAAAAAAAGTTTGGAGATTTTGTTTAATTGGCTTTTGGTGTTCAAAATATGAAGGGGCCAAACGTAAGCGGCGAGGGGTCGTTTGCTGACGAAAAAAAGTGAAAATATAGTTGAAGAAAAAACAAGAAGAAGAGAAATGATTACATTATATATGGGATGAAAGAAGCACTAAAAACATCAACACGGCTAAGTGGTGGGGGAAGAAGATGCTGTCTCCATGGAAAAAAGGGAACAAAATAGGCCACTTACATTCTACAGAAAAATTAGGTCAGGGATATAATTGGAATACAAAAATATATATAGTTTTGTAATATTGATTTTTGTTTTTTCTCAATTTTTCCTACGCTATAATCGGTACAAGAGTAAGAATTTCATAACAATAACATATTCTGTATTATAAAAGTAGGGTCTCATGAAGGGTGAATGTGCACATACCTTAGATCTCTGAAGAGTAGATAAATTGTTTCCGATGGACCCTCATTCTAGAAACATAAGTTTTCAAAATAGTGCAGGCGATGAATTAAGAGGTTTAATTTGTGTTTGAGAAATCTGAGTATCAGAGTCAAAACTTTATAACAACAACAATAACATATTTAGTGTAATATTGTAATACTGAAAAAGTGGAATTTGTTTAAGTAGTTGAACACCCCTATTATAAATCGGTATAGGTTGAGGATTTGACTCATAGTGAAGAGTAATGAAAATACTATTGATTTTTTTAAAAAATATTTAGTTTAGTCATATAAATAGAGTTTGAAGAGGGTAATTAGATGTGTGTAAATCTTACTTTTATCTTTAAAATAGAGAAGTTATTTTCGATACGGATGCTTAACATAAGAAAACAATTTTAAGAAGAGTGCATACGGAAAGACATGAAATATAGAAGAAGAAAAAGTACTATATCAAATAATAAAGATAATTAAAGTATATGAAATAACTCGTAATAATAAAATTGAAGAATAGAAGTTGGGTGGATATCACTTCATAGAAACTTTTATACTACTTATTGCATATCACTTGAATCTTTTTTTCCAAGGCTTTCACTTAAAACAATGCAATCATCCATTCACAAACTATTATCATTCATTCACAAATTAAACTATTGCATTGATTTTATGAAATAGTAATATTGTACTTATTAAAGTTTTTTTAAAACAAAATTAATAATATATAGATATATTGTAAGCTTAGTATATGAGTGGACTGGTGGAACGAATTAAGCTGGGATTGTGACTTTTCAACGTTGATAGGTCAATTTAGGACATGTGACGTATACACCCTTGTGTTTAGCCCATATTTCACTATGAAATTGAAGATGGATATGTGTTTAATTATATTTCTTTAAAAAAATATTTAAAATATGTTTATATTTGAATATTTTTAAATATAACTTCAAAACTAAAAATCTGAGTTGAAAAAGTGATTAAAAGTTATTTTCCAAATTTGTAAATTTTTCATAATTAAATATTGATTTTAAAATAATGTGAATTTTTTTATTATTTAAAATAAATAAATAATTTCTATGATCACACAAATTATTAATCTAGTCTAAGTAAGTGAACTCAATAAATATAAGCAGTTAATAAATATGATCAGTGACCCTCTCTCTCACACGCACACATAATATATATATATAAACTCTTTAACTTAAATTTTTTTAGAACCATAAAAACATCATGATATGTTTAACAATACTTCATTACGTGTTGAAATTCTTATAATTTTCTTAAATTATGTGTTCAGTTATACATCACATGTCAGATAATTTAGATCAAAGAGTAGAATATATCATAGAAAAGAGTTTGATAAATCGAAGTAAGATGTAGTTTAGGCAACAAAGACATAAAACATATCAAGGGTGCATGACCTCAACGAGGAAAAAAGAAAACAATAAACTTGAACTTTTTTAACTTCCTTCATTTAAAAACAATAGTATTATTCTTACTTATAAACATATTTATCTCAAAATATTTGTCATTTCAAATATTTAAAATTAAATTAATTATTTTTTAATTTTTATTTTACTTTTAATGATAATTGTTCTTGAAAACTATAAATATTTTATAAGTTATAAATAGAGTAAATATTCAGTGAAGCTAAGAAAGATTATATCTTATATTAAAACATTTAAGAATAAAGTAGTCAAATATCCGATACATGTATTCTTATAAGGTATGTAAATGAAAAATATGACAATTATTGTGAGATGAGGAAGTAGTAGCATTCTTATTATATTCTTGGTTCTGATTTGAAATAATACAACCATATTCATTAATATTCTTGGTTCTTATTTGCAATAATAATACAACCATATTCATTAATATTCTTGGTTCTGATTTGAAATAATACAACCATATTCATTAATATTCTTGGTTCTTATTTTCAATAATTCAACTATAATATCATTCTTATTCTTGGTTCGGATTTGCAATAATACAACAAAAAAATTCGAATTTTGAGAATAAGTCACTTGTTTTATTTTTTTGGGGGAAATGTTTTGTGCTAAAAAAATTCCATTATAGCATAATTGCTTAATCAAATACATATATACAAAATGGCATTGGCATATACCCAGGGATATCATTGTGTTTCCTGCCTTCATATATTTGGCATCTACTAATAATATGAGTCAGGATGAGATGGTTTGGATCTTTCGATTCTTAGTCAGAAGTCTCATGTTCAGACTCTCTTGGTATGAAAAAGATCTTGTTAAAAGCACTGCTTTTAAAATAGGTCTTACAATGCGCCATCCCAAATTTTCATGTTGATAACAAACACCAAATGAAAAATTAAAAATTATTATTTGAAATCTAATACTTATCCCTCCCAATTTTATCGGTCAATTGGTTTTATTGTCCTCTCCATATAGGTCATTTTTACGGACGATTATTATCCATAGTAACTTTTTTCACTCTAACAATAAAATTATTAAATTATGTTTTACCACAAAAACTTATCTATCAAAATAATTTTCTATTGGGTAAGTTTACTTGTTTTAGTGTGACAAAATAGGATAATTACATTGCTATAATTGTAAAAGAAAAAATATCAAGGACCTCCTTTCACAATTGACTTCACAATAATAATTTTTCATGTGATTTGTAATATCATGTATTTTAATTTATTTATAACTCTCACTTAATTTATCATGTTTATCCTTTTTTTTAAAATTAAAAAAATGAACAATTTGATTTATTTGTTATTTTCTAATATTATTCCTTCTAATTAATGAAGTATATATCATCACAAGTTCTGAAAAAAATGATAAGTATTCATTTATCTCTATTCAAATATTTTGAGTTTGAACTTGAATATAAAAATGTCTGATAGAAATATTTCACCGTGAAAACTTTCAGCGTGAATCCGAAATAATCCAACTTCAAAACAAGAAATGGAATTGTTGAGATTTCATTAGTATTCACAAGTAAAAAAGACTTGGAAATTCGATTGAAACTACAACTCTATACGCTAATTTACACATTGGCCAACTCCTAAAAATTGTATTATTATTATTATTAATAGAAAGGTACTGCGGCCACCGTTCGCGGCGGCTTAGGCGGCGAAGGCAACGGTGGCGGCAATTTCTGCAACTCATGAACGACTTTTTCCGGTGTCGGAAACTGACATGGACATGGCATTGCTATGAATTTTGGAAATTCATCCCCTGGCATTAAAACTGCTGGCAAAATTGGACTCTGGCTTTGTTTCCAATTCTGGAAAAAAATAATTAATTAATAAACAATAAAACTGAATCTAAAGTAAGATATACTAATAATAAAAATCTCAAATTCATCTCAAACTTTCGTGTAAAATTTCATTAAAATATGAATAAATAAAAGCTCTGTTTGATCTTTCGCAGTTAACACTTGAAGCTCGAAAATCTACGTTTTTGAAATTTGAAAGTCATATTTTGAGATGATATTATTTTTTAAGTTTTCCGAGTGAAAGTTGCAAAAATCTTGAAAATTTTATTATTTATCACTACACGCTAGCTATATTTGAATACATAAATTTTGAAATATAATGAAGTTTAAATTCTGAATTCGTAAAAAAAAAAAAAAAAACTTACCATATGGTTTTGCTTATATTTCATAGAAGTAGGATCGAGGCCGGATTCGAGATCAGCAAACGATCGACGAAGCGACCGGAGCTTTTCCCAGTGATAGCAGCAAGAAAATATGCCACTCAAGCTAAAAATGACAATCAAAAGTACAGCAGTACCCAAAGGAAATCCTAACGACGGCCTAGATGCATCTGAATGTGGTGGTGCATAATATTGATTTTCCATATTTCTACTAATAATAATAATAGAGAAATTTCAAGAAGAAACAAACAAGTAAATTGGTGTGAATTTGAGATGTGAAGAATGGTGAATTTATAAAGTTGGAAATTGGGGGCTATGGAGTAAAGGTACAGCTTACGCTGTCCGGGGCCAGCAAGTACGGAAGAAATATTATGGACCCATTTGTTTTTGGTGTATATTGTCTCGATTTTAATTTATTTGTCTTAATTTAATTAGATATAAAAATATTTAATTTTAAATATGTTATGTAAGTAGGAGTGGATTTAGAGGATCGTGAGGGTGTTTATTTGATTTTATTGAATATCTGAATTATTGTTTTTAAATTTTCTTTTATGTGTATATATAGATAGATTTTGAATCTCCTAAGCATGAGATTAGAGATTGACGTGGTTTAAAGAATCGAAAATTCACTTAATTATATTTTTATTTTTCAAATTTCCTTAATAAAAATCTTAAATTTGACATTACATGTGGTATGTTGGAATTATAACATGATCAAATTAATTTTAAGTTTTTTTCTAATAATAAATTAAATTAAATAAAAGATAAGGCAGACAAATTAAAACATAAATATATTTTCTTTGTCGGCGGGAGAGAAAATATGCAACCTTCGACCCTTTTGGTGTACTTTGTATGGTCATTTGGTAGTAAGTAGTACCTTTTGTTCTTATTTTTGGAAAATAGTTTTTATAAGCTTTTTTTTTATTTTCAGTTTTATGATTTGAATTTTATATTTCTAATTAAAAATAATAATATCATCTCATAAGTCATCACAATTCTTTGATCATTTTACTTTTCATAGCTTTTTAAAAAAAAATCACTCATGATAGTGAAAGAATAGTAGTTATATATTACTCTCTCCATTCATTTTTATTTGTTATTGTGTGACTTAACACATCACTAAAAAAATAATTATTGATATTAATATTATACCACGCTGCCCTATAAATATTAATTAGTTTCAGAAATATATTTTATTTTTGTACTAAAATTATAGAATTAGCTTTCTCATGTAAGAGATTCAGCAATCATGGAATCAATTTTTTTCTCACTTTATTGAATTTAAGTGTTGTTTGGTTAGCTGAATAAAAATAATAATTTTGAAATAAAATATAAGAATATGCTAGCACACATTTTATTATGAGTAGATTGCCGTCAAAATGGGTTTAGCCCATGGAGCCGGCCCAACCCAACCCGCTATTGGGGTAGGTTTGGATCGGATTTCTCAAGCCCATATAAAACTAGAGATTATAAGTTCGACCCATATAAGTCTTTGTCCATTGAGGCTTGATTGGGGTTGGGTGACGATCAGCCCATGGGCCAAAACAATTTATTTAAGGGTAACTTACAGAAATCTCGCTAATGTATGAGCTAATTACTTAGATGCAAGTTATATTGTGATATTACGAATCCTACCATATTTTGGTGCATCTAGATACATGCATCTCGGGATACATGGACTCAAAATTATATGTAATTTTTTCTAGATACACTATATCCAAGTGGATTCGCATGTATCTAGGTTACATAGACAAATCCTGAGCCCTCGCCTCCCTCCCATCTCACACGCCACTCTCTTATCTCGCTCACGTATCTGGGATGCATCACACTAGATACATGTATCTTGCGTATCTAGTATCTTAGATACATGTTATTCACATTAGATTTTTTTCTAGTGTTATTGAAACAACACCATTTTTTGTCATATTTAATTTGAAAATCTTCTTATTTTCCTGATGTTATAGAATTTTAAGTTTGAAAAGAAAAAAAAGGGCTAGCCCACCCCAGCCGGCGATCCTTTGAGGGTTGGGTTGTGTTGAGCATTTTCAGCCCCTTCTAAATGAAGGGCCGATCCGTCTAGCCCATCAAATTCCTTAGCCCGCAAGACTTGGACCGGTTGGAGCTGGGTTGACCCTTTTTGACAACCCTAATTATGATTATTGATTAGTTTTAAAATTATTTTATTTTTATTATTTATATTCAAATTGTAGGATTAGTTATCTCAAGTGGATAGTTAACCCCATGAAATATTCCTATCATTCTGTATATCAAACAATTTAGTAATCATATAAATTGATAGTGTGATTATAAGATTATAAATTGGTCAAATTAATTTATAATTATTTTAAAATTTATTTATACATTTGATAATTATCTAAAGTATTTTTTTATAAGTAAGTATTTTATTATAAAAAAGAATTAAGTTTATAATTAAACAAAAAACAAAAAGAAACTTCTCTAATGGGATTGAACACAACTAATAACCTTCAATTTTCTAAGCATTTATTGACATCTTTAAATATCTAAAGTATTATAAGTCATATAATTAATTATAAACCAAATTAATCAAGAAGCCTTAAGACGATCATTTCTAACTTATGTCGCTTTTAATTTATAATATTTTACTATTTTATTCTTAATATTTTGTTGATCCTTAAAATATATTTTTCATAAAACTTTAGCTCACTTCCCTATTTGTCACTCCTCTTTTTTTTTTTTTTTTTAAATTTTAAAAAATATTTTAAAAATTCATATTTTTATAAGAATATTAAAGACATTTTTTGTCGTTTAACAAAGACAACTTATCAACATTTTTTATCATGCAAATTAACTACTCATTTTCAGCTTAAAAATACGTTTCAACACTTGCAACATATTATTTATTTATTCAACTAATTCAAACAGATTTTTAGAATGAAACATCAGTTATTATTAGTTCTAGGTCATGATTGTATGTTTATTATTTGTATTGTTATAGATTAATTGAAAATGACATAAAGCTTGTTTGGTATTAGTGCTAAAATTACTTATTTTTAGAACTATTTTTCCAAAATAGTTTTCCAGAAAAGTGATTCTGGAAAAATCAATTTGTTTTTGGTTAATTTATTTGAAAAGTGCTTTTGATAAGAAAATTGTGTTTGGATAATCTTTTTTAAAAATTACTTTTGAGAGCCAAATTACAAAAAAAAAGACAAGTATCAATGCACTTTTAATATTAAGATTATTTATAGAGAAAATATTTTAAATATCTATTGTAACATTTTTTATTAAGTATTTATTCTGATAAAATTAAAATCTACATATTCAAATTTTCAATCAATATCACACATAGATGAATAAAATAAATTAATTAGATATTGATATAATATTAATATGATGATTTTAATATAATTAAATAATATCAAGTAAAATAAATTTAAAATTATTTCAAAAATTAAATGCACCACATAAATAAATAAATAAATATAAGGGATATATTGATAAATATGTATATATGATTGAGATATTTTAGTCTTGAAATAAATAATTTTCTGCTTCTTTTTATAAAGCAGATTTACTAATTAGCCAAACACCTTAATTATCCAAAAAGATATTTTTTTCCTCAAAATAAATATTTTTGGCCTTCCAACAACAATGTCAAACAAGCTCGTAGTCAACAAGAAATAATGATTCATAGTTGATTTTAATTTGCTTGAGATTAAATTGTAAGATAATTTTAACGATTCGTAGTCAACAAGAAATAACGGTGTCTAACACATTCCATTTGAGATAATTTGAGCTCATATTTCATCTTTTGCTTACAAACTAATAAAAGAAAGTTATTTGCAAATTAGTTTAGTAACATAATGTTTTAATGCACCTTAATTCATTAGGTTACAGCTGTTTTCTTTTACATTCTAAATGAGTATTGTTGAAATTAGTTTATTTTGGAGCAACGCTAGTAGGAAAATTAATTTTCAATTTTTAACTAGTTGAAGAATATTTTTGAGCCAAAAATATTAATAAGAATAAAATTAACGTATATTAAGTACTTCAAAAATATATTTGGCCCTTTTCTCCATGTAAAAAGTGTTTATAAAATAGATGTATGTCAGTCAAATCTACAATTTTTTTGTGTAAGCTAAATCCAATATTTTAAAAAATTGTATTTTAGTTAAACGTAGCTATCAAATAGTTGTATAAAAGTACTGTACAGTAGGCAAGTTGCAACAGTGTAGTATTTCCTCCGTCCAAATTTAGGTCACACTTTTTTTAAAGTCGATTTCGTTAATTTTTTAAAATAGCTATTTTATCTTTAGTTAATAGCTTATTGTATCATAACTTTAAAAATCTTTTTATTTATTTCTTAAATTTTATATTCAGTCAAATACCATTACACAAATTGATAGGAAGAGAGTATTTATTTTTCTTCATGAGTAGATTTTTAGAACTGATATTATAAGTTAAGTCCTTAATAAAAAGTCAGGAGGTATATAAATGGTAAATAAATATTTGTGTGGTTTATATCAGATATTTACATCAAAGTATGTTAATATATTATTCTCTGTCGTAATTTATGTGACACTTTTCATTTTTCAGAGTCGGAGTTTAAGTTTGATCGAAAATTTGCGCATGAAATCATCATTTTTTAAATGAAATTTATATATTTGTAAACTACGTAAAAAGTACTATAAGTCACAAAAAATGACAATTCAAAATAATTAAAAAGTGAATAAAAACTTTACGGTCAAAGATATGTTAGTTTGAATTTCGAAATCTGAAAAGTGTCAGATAAATTGAAACAAAGGAAGTCTATTTTAATAATTAAATAAAGTAAAAATATATTTACAACAATTAAACATAACTCTATATGGAAATATGTATCATTTATAGGGGGTGGACGTTTGATTCTTTGGTTTTAGAAAAGTGTGCACCGTATATCAAATCAAACTAATTCGGTTCGGTTTAGTTCGATATTTTTAAATCGATTTTTTGGTGCGAATGAAAAATAAAATGAGGACAAAATCAAAGTATAAGATATATACTTAAAAATGTAAAACTATGTTAAGAAATGATGTGTCTCGACATGGAACACTTATTGTGCTAACTAAAAGACTATATTTGTCTTTGTCAAGAACATTGTGTCTCCAACTACTTCTCAAAAAAAATAAGGACGAAGATGGGTTCCTTTACATAATGTACATTGATAAAAATATGTTTGGGTTCCTCTTGGAATTTATTTTTTTTAATAAAAGTTCGATTTCAGTGCACTGAAGTTTTGGGAC